AAAATTAACAAGTATACCCACCATCAAACCATATGCCTTAAAAGGAATGCTCTTCTATAAACATCAGGATAATATTTTGAATAGGGCTTAAGTCTATTATGTACCGAGCTCTTTCGAATTACAAATTTATTTTTGATCAATTTTTAAACCATGAACATATACACAGTAAAAACTTTCATTACCATGTAAGGGGTTAAAATACTAAAATTTACTTTCAAAATAGCATTTTAAGTCATTATTTTAATAGCATTTAAGTTATTAGAGGCAAGTACTTACCACAAACGATTAAAGGTAATTCGAAAAAGTAGTCGTTGTAAATCATATGAAAAAACGTAAACAGCTTTATATCTTCACTGACAGGATGACACATTATTAGCAAGATCTTATTAGACTACTTCTATGTAATCCAGACAATATGTAGTCATTGAAAAGTATGTTGTTAGATAAGTAATTACAATTGAAAGCCACTACCTAGTTTTCACTGGGTATGTATAAGCGGTGGATTGAATTATGGATCGATCGTCGTAAAATTTGGTTGAAAAATATCAGTTCGTATAACACTTATTTGTTTCGAATTTCATCGTTGTACTCGTATTTTTAATTTGGTCAAATGCGTAAAAGTAATTTATATGTGAGTAGGATCAGTTATGAACCGATTCTCATACAATTTTGTATATTGACTTTGTTTCGTCAGAACTTGTTTATATCAAATTCATCGCTATTATCATATTTATACCCTACACCACTTTAGTGGGGAGGGTATATTGGGTTTGTGCTGATGTTTGTAACATACAATAATATTGGTCCTATACCCACCTTAAAGTATACCAACCGACTTAGAATCATTTCGATTTAGCTATATCCGTCCGTCTGTCCGTCCATGTAAACGCAATTTTGAAGATACTTCAATGACATTTGGTACATGATCTTCTATTGTCCCAGGGACGAAGCCTATTGAAAATGGTTAAGATCGGTCCATTATTTCACCTAGCCCCCATACAACTGAACCCCCGAAAAGGGCTTGTAAACCTTGTAATCAAACTACAGGTCGCAATTTTGGAGATAATTCAACGAAATTAGCACATGATATTCTACGGTACCGGAGACGAATCCTATTGAAAATGATATTCTATTGTTCCAGCCTATTGAAAATGGTTAAGATCGGTTCATTATTTCACCTAGCCCCCATACAACTGAACCCGCCGAATAGGCCTTTTAAGTTCATAACTATGTTTAATATACTCGTATCTCGACAAAAAGCTGTAAAACCAAGTTCTATACTAGGCTTCATTTGACCCTAGCCCCTATAAAAAGGCCCTTCAAAATTGGACATAAATGTCCACAATTTTATAAAACAATAAATGGCTTAAGTATGTCTGAGGCAAGGTACAATTCAACTTAAATGCTTTATTATGAAAACTAATTCACATTTTATTTTTGTAACAGGTGTAGGGTATTATATGGTCGGCCTCGCCCGACTATAATTTCTTACTTGTTTTAAATAAGGAATACTCGTATTTTAAATAAGTAAAACCCTTTCCTGAAGGTAACCTTATATATGGACTATTGTCATTTATAGATCAATCTTCATTAAATTCGGAATGAAGAATTATGTTCCTACAAAACTTTTATGTCGATTTTCATCTCTGTAATCGTAACAATCTTATAAAATTGTATAGAGCGATTTTTGTTCATATAAAACTTGTTTATGTCAAAATTCATCACTGTACTGTATTTTAAATCCAATAATTAGAGTTTAAGTAATTTTCTGAAGGGGACCTTATTTTTCTGAGAGGTAGGTTAATTATTGACCAATCCCCATTATATTTTGTAGACCGATTTTGGTTCATGTACAACTTGTTTACATCGAATATAATCGCTGTACTCCCATTTTTAGGTCAGTAATTAGCATTGCAGTAATTTTTTGAAGAGGGACTTATATGGAGAGTATGTGAGCTACGAACCATTTCACATGAAATTTGATAGGAAGATTAACGTTCCTATAAAAGTTGATTATGTCGAATTTCATAACTGTACTCGTATTTTTAAGCCAGTAATGAGCGTATAGTCATTTCCTAAAGGGGCCTTCCTTGGGGTATTAGAACTTGGATGTTGAAATTTGTCACCAGGTTTTTTTCCAATTTTGAATTTTTTGCAGTTTTTTTGACCGGGCGTTGACGCCCTTAATAAAATGCAAAAATTGAGACAACAGTGGTTAGCTGATCTAACTATACAGAGTATGGTATATTTCTCGTTAATGTGTCCTGAATAGGAGATTGTATAGTAAGTGTGGTTAATGCCGTTAATTCTGAAACAATTCTTTAGGGTAAAGTGTGTTTCAGAGACTAGTAGTACATCAATATCTTGAAGCAGCAGGAATTGTTGTACTTCATGCTTATGTTGGCTAAAGCCGTTAGCATTCCAAAAACAAATTCTTAGAGAATTATTTTTTTATTTAGCAGGATCTTCATGATCATGCTTTGATTCTGCATCAATTGTTGAAACATATTTTGCATGTTTACCTTATATTAGGCTGAGGTCAAATATAGTGCCATTTTCGCAAAATTTTGCCTATGTTGAGTAAATTACGGTGCGATTTTGCTTATATTTCATACCAAACAACTTGCCACAAACGGAATTGATTGTATCTACGACCAAAAACGGAATTACATGCCATTTTTACGTAGCCTTTCTTGAATGAAAACTCAAGTTGAGACTTTTTGAATATAGTCTATCAAAGTTCTGTGAAGGGTATCATATTGTCGATATTGTTCAACAATATTTTCTTACTTGTTTTAAGTTATTGATAATATTGAACGCGAAAATGACAATAAAACATTATCGTACTTTTAAGACATATTTGCTTTTGTCTCGTACTCGTCTTAAAAAAACTTTAACAGTTGAAATATGATTTATTTTCAAACTTTTTTCCCGGTAAAAGTTATTTTCTTTTATATTCAACGTATGGATTGTATTAAAACTTTTAAAAATCAAAAAAGGCAACAGAAAGTATAAAAGTTTGGTAGCTAAATTATGATCGATGAACAAAGAATTTATGAATGGATGTACATACATACTATGTATGTACTCAGTACGCCATAAAAAAAATTGTCAATCTTTTGAAAGAAGTTAATGGAAAATGTATAAAATCTCGATGTGAGTAACATTGTAAGGGATAAAAGTTAGTTATTCTTAACCGCTAAATATTTTCAATGCACGTATTTTGGTTACATAAAAATTTAACAAATATTATTATGTATATAATAGGGTTGCAATGAGAATTTAGAAAAAATCCGTAGCAAATTTTTCATATTAGGTTTATCTTATTTTTTTAAAATTACGATTCGGTCATAAAACTGTGCAAAAAGGTGTTAATTAAACTTAACTAAAAGTTAATTTTTTATTAAAATGTAAAAATAAGCCGTTTTTGTATAATTTTATTAGTCTTTCACTCAAAAACTGAATTCTGACAAAAACTACTACATTGTTAAATTTATTTATTACTAGCTACAATATAAATAAAAACCCCCACTTAACGATTTTGAAGATTCTAGCTATAATAGTTTTTTATATATATATATAATGAGATGTCATTCAAATTATTGCAAGTTCGCTAATTTTTCTAAACGTTAATTAAGATTTAAATGTAACCCATGAAAAATTTGAATAATCTAATAGTTTCCCAGATATACGAAATGTTGGATTTAATTCATATGGGAGTTGCCAAACCCCCATTGAAAGTCCGCTCATTTTTCTCTAAATATTCACATGAATTTCAAAGTTCTTCATGTAAAATTTGAAGATTCTAGCTCTAATAGTTTCTCAGATATACAAATTTTTCTATTTAATTCATATGAGGGTGCCAAGCTCCCCTTGATTAAAGTCCGTCATTTATTCTCCAAAATTTTTAGATGAATATAAAAGTTCTTCGTTCTATTAATTTCCCTGACAAAAGAATTTTTGTATTTATTTCATATGGGAGATGCCACGCCCTCTGCTGCTAGTGCATGCTAGTTTTATCCTAAATAATTGTATTGACACTAAAGTGGCTCCTACAAAATTTGAGGACTCTAGCTGTTCTATTTTCTCAGACATACTGATTTAATATTTTCTTAATATGTAAGGCGACATGCCCACTATAGCCATTCCGCCCATTTTGTCAACACATATTCGTATGGATGTCAAAGTTGTTCGTAAAAAGTTTTAGGACTCTAGCTGTTACAGTTTCTGAGTTATGCGACTTTTAAGACTAACTTTGTATGTAGGCGTGGCACTTCGCCTACTTGAAATTCTAATAGAAAAGGTATAGTTTCTTCCAGACATAGAGGAAGATACTGTGAATATTTCAGGAAAATCGTTACAGCCGTTTAGCAGTCTATATATATAGATTCACCTATATATGGGAGATGGCACCTCCCATGCCAACTCCCCCATTGAAAGTCCACCCGTTATACTCTAAATGTTCAGATGAATGTCAAAGTTCTTTAAGTAAAGTTTGAAGATTCTAGCTCTAATAGTTTCTTAGATATACGAATTTTTCTATTCAATTCATATGGGAGCTTCAAGCCCCCCAGACGAAAGTCCGCTTTTTTTCCTCTAAAATGTTCAGATGAATATTTAAGTTCTTCGTGCGAAATTTGAAGAATTTAGTTCCATTAGTTTCCCAGATAAACGAATTTTTGTATTTAATTAATATGGGAAGTGCCACGCTCCCTAATGCTAGTCCGCCTACTTTTTGTCCTAAATAATCATATTTGAGGACTCTAGCTGTTATATTATCTCAAATATCAGGGTTTTATATTTTCTTAATATGGGCGTGGCTCCTCGCCCACTTGAAATTTCATAATAAGTAGTTTTTCCATCTAAAATTACTTGTAATTATAATTGAAAAATTTACAATTACTTCTAATTGTGAAATTTGTCCCTTATAATTACAAGTAATTTGCAGTAATACCTAAATTATAATTACATTAATATAATATTTTTTATTTATTTTTCAGATTAGATTATCTTGCAAAATATGCGTATCTGACTATTTAAGAAGATTAGTGGAAGTTGGATTAGTTCAAAGCATGTGGACTATAATAAAGAAAAATGAGCCACATCGACAGTACAATAAAAATCAAAATACAAGACATAATCCAAAGCAGCATCTCAGAGAGTACGTAGCAGTTAAGCATTATTTATCAATCTTTAAATATCAGATGCATACAATGCATATCTACCTATTACTATGGATGGGAATTATGCTAATTGTGGGTCTAACAGGTGAGTTTGTATATATTTTTGCAAATATTAAAATGTTTATGGCCCTAAGGTCTTCTTATGGGAAAGCATTTATATAAACCAATTCCGCAATCATCTTTTCATAATATTTTGAATTTAATTTACTATCTAAAGTGCATACATATGTATATATGCTGCATAAACATAAAAATATATTAAGCATATCAATGCATTTTATTTATAAAGTAATAAAGTATTTTGTAATGTTATCGTCATCTTATCCACAATCTAAATAAATTTGAATTGATGTTTCAAGTATTCCACTCGTACTGTAACTGTAACATCAAATGCAGCAGTTCTGTTTTTATACAAACATTAATTTCCTCTTTTATAAAAGTTGCATACATTTTTTTCATTTTTATACAAGAACGATAAGATTTTGATGATTTAATTGCTTATGCATTAAACAATTTAACATGATTTCATTTCATTTCTTTTTGTGTTGCAACTGATAATCATCATTTGCGCCACATATGTACGTAAAACATTTTATTATCTTCATCACAATTTTCTAACTCCCTCTTGCAACGTAGAATGTATGCTCGTTGCTGGGTTGTTTGTTTTAATTTCTTCGAACATAATGAAAAATAATAAAAAAGGTTGCGCCTTATCACGATGATCTGTAAGCAGAATTAATGATGATGCAAATCTTAAATGGAAAATTTTTAAAAGATTTACAATTATGTGATGAAACCATACAAATCTAAAGGAAGTTTACTCACCGGTGTTGCCAGAAATTTCATATGCATTTTGCATGATATTTTGGTCTATTACTAACTCATAACAAAGCTAATCAGAAATATACCGCACTTTAACTAGATGGTAAACAGTTTTTGTTATGTAAGAATAATGTTTTTGTACTTTTTATAAAAAATTTTACAAATTTACCAATTCCTTGTCAATTTTTCTTGGCAACACTGGTACAAACACATCCCCCTTCATATATTAATTTGAGTGTGTAAGCGGGTTGTTGTTTGTTTGGTTGTATGTTTGAACTACACTCGAGACACAAAAGCCTACTGAGGTAACATTCATGCAACATCAGCACATTTATTCGTACACCTTCCAATTTATGTATGTGTTTACTCGAATGTGTTTTTGTGATTGTAAATAAAAATGAATTTACATATATGTTAGTACATATCTTCATGAAAACATTACTTTTACAATATTACTTACAATTCAGAAACGTTTTGTAAGCAAGTGTAATCTACTCAGTCTTGATGGGCTGTGCAATTTTATCATCAACGTCAACGACATTGTAACAGAAAATAAACACATACATACTACGGCTCAAATGTAAGTCGGTAGCAAAGAAAAAAATCTAAACTAAATTAAACAAATTTCTTACCCACATACACCCCAAACAAATTGGAATGTCTTCAGATGAATTTGTAATAAACTTCAATAAATAGGAAAATGTTGACATTTCAGAAGAGGATGTGTAATTTTGTACTACACAACCTCATACCTGTACTTTTTTCAAAATAAGTGTTAATTTACACAACAAATATTGAAATTAATCGATTTTGTTCTGTTTAAGTTCAGACAAAATTTTTTAGAGTCCCGACACTTTTACACATCCTACACTTGATATATTGCGATAAAAAATTGCAATAGGCATGATCAACTTTCTGCCCGTTTATGTAAAGCTTCTAATCAAATTTAATATTGCATGATATTTTGGGAAATGGGAAGCTACAAGGTGCAAAGTAGATTGTTAGAGTTATTAATGAGATTATTCCCAAAAGAATAATCTGTGAATGTGTATGTCTTTTATTTGGCAAATATAATTTACAAACTCTGGAAATCTGAAGGTTAGTTTAATGGGAAGCCTTTCAAAAAATTCCTCCCTAATTTGGGCGCACATGTTCTTTACGAATCAACTTTAACAGTAACTGTAACGTGGGTAACCCGAATCCCATAAGGCCTCTTGGAATAATGAAACGGTGGGTAGAACCACAAAGATTCTATGGGGTGACCCTGATGAGAGCAAGACGAGAAATCTTCTCAAAATGAGCAAGTCTGAGGTTAGTATGATGGTACGTATTCTCAGTGGACACACAGGATTACGAGCACATCTATACAAAATTGGACGTGCGAATTCAGACGAATGTAGAGCATGTGGAGAGGACAGTGAAACTCTGGAGCACTTTCTTTGCCATTGTCAGGCATTCGTCGAAGTTAGATCCAAGTATCTTGGAAGTGATGTTATTCCAGAAATAACATTCTTAACCAACACTGATTGGAAGATTCTTAGGAATTACGTCCAGGAAACTGAGTTTCTGAACATGGAAAAATAATACATTCAGTGAACAATTTTTTTTTTTTTTTTTTTTTTTTTTTTTTTTTTTTTTTTTTCTTGAATTGGAGCGCACAACAGGCCCGATAGTGGCCTAGGTGTATTTCTTCGGATTTGATGTAGTATACATCCTCCTATCAACCTACCTACCTACCTACCTACCCGAACAATCTAACATGTGTCTAATAATACAAAGTAGGTATGCCTATTTATATGAGTATTGATTATGTGGGTTAGGTTAGTGACTCATCCTCGCGCAGTCCTAATTATAAAAAAGCAAAGTTGTCAACTAATTTTAGGCGTCATGAAATAACTCCCCAAAACAAAAATGAAATAAGTCCTCAATAGAATACACTCTCCCTGTATCAAGAGTGTTCAGCCTTAGGCCGGCTATTTAGGAAATCTTTACTAACTAAATCCCCAAAAATGGGGTTTTATTTCATTTTAATTTAGGAAGATATTTCATTTCGTTGGGGCTTTTTTTCATTTCTAAATTGGGGAATTATTTCATAATGAAATAAGTCCACAAATTTGAGGTCTTATTTGATTTTTATTTTGGGGAGTTATTTCGTGGGGAGTTATTTCATATGAAACAAATACCTAATTTTAAAATTAAATAAGTTCCCATTTAAAAATAACAAATTATGGAACAAGTCGGTTTAAGTGAAATTTCTAAAAAAGTAGGTCGCTCATACTTTCGAGTGGGGCTTCAAAGTTTAATACATTTCAGTTTAATCGCTTAATTAAAATTTCCTTCATTATGAAATAATCCCCCTATTTAAAAATGTAAAAAACCCTAATGAAATAAAATAACTTACTAAATTAAAATGAAATAACACCCCATTTTGGGGATTTATTTCATATGAAACAAATCCTTAATTTTAAAATGAAATAAGTTCCCATTTAAAAATAACAACTTATGGACCAAGTCGGTTTTAGTGACATTTCTAAAAAAAGTAAAAAGTTTAATACATTTCAGTTCAATCGCTTAATAAAGATTCCCTTAATAGCCGGGCTGGCGCAAGGACTTTCTACTCTATGGTATGTCCAACAACGGCTTCGCTTAATAAATATTTCTTAAATAGAAGGCCTACGGTCGGACGCAAGCGTTTACCACTCTAAAATATGACTAACATCAACTTCGCTTAGTAAAGATTTCATAAATAGCCAGCCTAAGGCCGAACACTTTTTATACAGGGAGAGTGTATTCTTAGCGAAGCCGGTGTCCAATGTACCCCAGATCCTCAAATTTCGTTGTTTTTGCTTTCTGAACAAATTTTTGGGGAGTTATTTCGTGGGGAGTTATTTCATGACGCCTGTTATTTCAATTCGGCTTTTTTCATCTTAAAATTGGGGAGTTATTTTATGACGCCAATTTCTATAGCAGTGGTTATATTTTATCTTTATGGTTATATATGGTTATATTTTATCTTTATTGCTTCACTAGCATAATTTGGATTTATTAAGAAGATTTTTTATTTCTTCAAAAACTAAATATGTAGGTAAAACGCGCTGATTTAGCGTGACTTTTCGGTTTTTATTAATCTGAACTATTTGCGATTTTCGGGTTGTTAAATCTAGTGCGAAAAGTGTTAAATTGGAAACGGTGGAAAATAAGCTTGTACCCAGATATGTTACTCCGCTTTTTTTGAGTAATTGAGAGTACATTTCGATGGCATTAATTTCAGCATGAAAAACAGTGCCGACGTTAAGGCATCTGATGGATAAGAAGTTCAGTGAAGAAAACTCCTTAGTCCGTACCCATATCAGTTTTTAATCCGTCCGCTGTCTTTAATTATGTTTAAGTTGTCATGATCAATACGATCCTATTCAGTGATAAGAGCTGATTTTGCAGACATAAATATGTTTCTGCAATATATGTAAGGTATACCTCTAGCAGAACCTTCAGACTGAGCTGAGAAGTTGAGTTAATATCAAACGAAATGAACCGATGTGATTTATATTCACCACCTTCCACCAGACTATTGAACCAGTACACAATGTAAGGTTCATGTATCTGCCTCATGTATGTAAAGAACTATATCTCTATCTATAAGGTTTCCCTACAACAAAAGAAGGCACAAAGGTCCTTATTAGGGTGATCGACTCGATTTTTCAACCGGTTTTAAAACCGGTTTTTTTCTGCTTTACCAGTGTCGGTTTTTTCTTAATGTTGATTTTTCGAATATCGAATAACCCGGTTTTTTCACTTTTTAAAACCCGGCTTCGAATACTTTTATTTGCTTTGTATTCAAAGATTATTTAAATGAAATTTTTAAGTAAATAATAATACAGTCCGTCTAAATTTTAAAAATATTCGAGTCGAGGAACTAGAGTACATTTTCTAAAGCCCTTTTGGTTAAACTTTTTTGATTTTCCTAATTAATTAAAAAAATTTATTTGTAAAATTGATAACTGTTTGATAAAATTTAGCAATCTTAAGATTATATTCCAATTACAATAATTAATTTACGGCTGAAATTTTATGGAAGAGTTGGAATGCCTATGCAAATTTCCTAAACAGGGCTTTTAAAATAAGCTAGGATTACATAGTACCTTATGTTTAACAGAAGTGTCCCACTTTTTTCCTAATTTTTTTATATTAAAGAAATAATGTAAATCAGACGACTAGATCTAAAGTTATTATCTTTTTTTTAAATGTCAACTATTCGAACTATTC